CCAATTAAATTGATAGTGGTGGGAAATGGCCATGTTGAAATCAAAGAAAGACTGGAGTTCCAACTACTTTCGGATTAAAGGGACTAAAAGCTATCATTACAACTTCCCGTACTTGTTGTTAAATCTTCCTGCAGTATATTACAATTTACCGCGCTTGTAATTACAATTTTTAGCAGTTTGTTAGATTTTACGGCTCAAGCCTCTCAGTTCGAATGATAGTAGAAATAGCCCAAACTATTTCCACTTGTTTTCATTCATTAACATCCCAGTGATGGGATCTGACCATAATGAGGTAAAACAAACATTGGAATTCGACTTTCTTTGGAAATTAGAAGGAATCAGAGAAGTTATTACACTTTACCGCGCTAGTTCTTACAATTTGCCGCAGTTTATTACAATTTACCGCGCTTGTTATTACAATTTGCCGCAGTTTGTTAGAATTTTACAGCACCTGCATCTCACTTCGACTGATAGAAATAATCCCAAATATTGCCTTTTTTCGTTCATTTAACACGCCAGTGGTGGAATGTGACCATGATTAAGTCGAACAAACACTTGAATTCGAGTTTCTTTGGAAATGAGAAAGAATCAGAGATTTTATTACAATTTACCGCGCTTGTTATTACAATTTGCCGCAGTTTGTTAGAATTTACGGCTCAAGCCTCTCAGTTCGAATGATAGTAGAAATAGCCCAAAATATTTCCGTTTTTTTCCATTCATTTAACATCCCAGTGATGGGATATGACCATAATGAAGTCAAACAAACATTGGAATTCGACTTTCTTTGGAAATTAGAAGGAATCAGAGAAGTTATTACATTTTACCGCGCTAGTTATTACAATTTGCCGCAGTTTATTACAATTTACCGCGCTTGTTATTACAATTTGCCGCAGTTTGTTAGAATTATACAGCACCTGCATCTCACTTCGACTGATAGAAATAATCCCAAATATTGCCTTTTTTCATTCATTTAACACGCCAGTGGTGGAATGTGACCATGATTAAGTCGAACAAACACTGGAATTCGAGTTTCTTTGGAAATGAGAAAGAATCAGAGATTTTATTACAATTTACCGCGCTTGTTATTACAATTTGCCGCAGTTTGTTAGAGTTTACGGCTCAAGCCTCTCAGTTTGAATGATGGAAGAAATAGCCCAAAATATTTCCGTTTTTTCATTCATTTAACATCCCAGTGATGGGATATGACCATAATGAAGTCAAACAAACATTGGAATTCGACTTTCTTTGGAAATTAGAAGGAATCAGAGATGTTATTACATTTTACCGCGCCAGTTATTACAATTTGCCGCAGTTTATTACAATTTACCGCGCTTGTTATTACAATTTGCCGCAGTTTGTTAGAATTTACAGCACCTGCATCTCACTTCGACTGATAGAAATAATCCCAAATATTGCCTTTTTTCGTTCATTTAACACGCCAGTGGTGGAATGTGACCATGATTAAGTCGAACAAACACTTGAATTCGAGTTTCTTTGGAAATGAGAAAGAATCAGAGATTTTATTACAATTTACCGCGCTTGTTATTACAATTTGCCGCAGTTTGTTAGAATTTACGGCTCAAGCCTCTCAGTTTGAATGATAGAATAAATAGCCCAAAATGTTTCCGTTTTTTTCCATTCATTTAACATCCCAGTGATGGGATATGACCATAATGAAGTCAAACAAACATTGGAATTCGACTTTCTTTGGAAATTAGAAGGAATCAGAGAAGTTATTACATTTTACCGCGCCAGTTATTACAATTTGCCGCAGTTTATTACAATTTACCGCGCTTGTTATTACAATTTGCCGCAGTTTGTTAGAATTTACAGAACATGCATCTCAGTACGACTGATAGAAATAATCCCAAATATTGCCGTTTTTCGTTCATTTAACACGCCAGTGGTGGAATGTGACCATGATTAAGTCGAACAAACACTGGAATTCGAGTTTCTTTGGAAATGAGAAAGAATCAGAGATTTTATTACAATTTACCGCGCTTGTTATTACAATTTGCCGCAGTTTGTTAGAATTATACAGCACCTGCATCTCACTTCGACTGATAGAAATAATCCCAAATATTGCCTTTTTTCGTTCATTTAACACGCCAGTGGTGGAATGTGACCATGATTAAGTCGAACAAACACTGGAATTCGAGTTTCTTTGGAAATGAGAAAGAATCAGAGATTTTATTACAATTTACCGCGCTTGTTATTACAATTTGCCGCAGTTTGTTAGAATTTACGGCTCAAGCCTCTCAGTTTGAATGATAGAATAAATAGCCCAAAATGTTTCCGTTTTTTCCCATTCATTTAACATCCCAGTGATGGGATATGACCATAATGAAGTCAAACAAACATTGGAATTCGACTTTCTTTGGAAATTAGAAGGAATCAGAGAAGTTATTACATTTTACCGCGCCAGTTATTACAATTTGCCGCAGTTTATTACAATTTACCGCGCTTGTTATTACAATTTGCCGCAGTTTGTTAGAATTTACAGAACCTGCATCTCAGTACGACTGATAGAAATAATCCCAAATATTGCCTTTTTTCGTTCATTTAACACGCCAGTGGTGGAATGTGACCATGATTAAGTCGAACAAACACTGGAATTCGAGTTTCTTTGGAAATGAGAAAGAATCAGAGATTTTATTACAATTTACCGCGCTTGTTATTACAATTTACCGCGCTTGTTATTACAATTTGCCGCAGTTTGTTAGAGTTTACGGCTCAAGCCTCTCAGTTTGAATGATGGAAGAAATAGCCCAAAATATTTCAGGTTTTTTTTCATTCATTTAACATCCCAGTGATGGGATATGACCATAATGAAGTCAAACAAACATTGGAATTCGACTTTCTTTGGAAATTAGAAGGAATCAGAGATGTTATTACATTTTACCGCGCCAGTTATTACAATTTGCCGCAGTTTATTACAATTTACCGCGCTTGTTATTACAATTTGCCGCAGTTTGTTAGAATTTATGGCTCAAGCCTCTCAGTTTGAATGACAGAAAATATCCCAAAATATTTCAGTTTTTTTTTCATTCATATATCATCCCAGTGATGGGATTTGACCATAATGAAGCCAAACAAACAATGGAATTCGACTTTCTTTGGAAATTAGAAGGAATCAGAGAAGTTATTACATTTTACCGCGCCAGTTATTACAATTTGCCGCAGTTTATTACAATTTACCGCAGTTTATTACAATTTACCGCGCTTGTTATTACAATTTGCCGCAGTTTGTTAGAATTTACAGAACCTGCCTCTCAGTGCGACTGATAGAAATAATCCCAAATATTGCCTTTTTTCGTTCTTTTAACACGCCAGTGGTGGAATGTGATCATGATTAAGTCGAACAAACACTGGAATTCGACTTTCTTTGGAAATTAGAAGGAATCAGAGATTTTATTACAATTTACCGCGCTTGTTATTACAATTTGCCGCAGTTTGTTAGAATTTACGACTTCTGTCTCTCAGTTTGAATGATAGAAATAGCCCAAAATATTTCAGTTTTTTTCCATTCATTTAACATCCCAGTGATTAGATCTGACCATAATGAAGTCAAACAAACATTGGAATTCGACTTTCTTTGGAAATTAGAAGGAATCAGAGAAGTTATTACATTTTACCGCGCCAGTTATTACAATTTGCCGCAGTTTATTACAATTTACCGCGCTCGTTATTACAATTTGCCGCAGTTTGTTACCGTTTTCGATTAATGCCGATGTTTTCAAAGTCCGGGGTTTGATTTTTGTAAAGCTGGAATTCGACCTTCTTTGGAAAGTAGAATGAATCAGAGATGCCGATGTTTTCAAGGTCCGGGTAGGGATTTTTATAAAGCTTAGTCTCACATTTTAGCATCATGAATGTTTCCTTGCATAATAGGCAATGAAATGTATTTTATTACATTTTACCGCAGGGGTTATTACAATTTGCCGCAGTTTCAGTTATTACAATTTGCCGCAGTTTTTATTACAATTTACCGCGGCTCAGTTATTACAATTTACCGCGTTTTTTATTACAATTTACCGCGGTATTACATTTTACCGCGGTGTTATTACAATTTGCCGCATTTTATTACATTTTACCGCGTTATTACAATTTACGTCGTAACAACACCCTACAGCGCATGCTCAGTGAGTTGTGGAGGAGGCAGCCAATCACGTTCCAGAACAAGGTCATGTACTAACCCAACCCCAGCTAATGGCGGCAGTCCGTGTGTAGGGGAGACAACTGACACCAACAGCATAGGCTGCAACACCCATCCATGTCCAAGTAAGTGCGTGAGTGAGTTGAACAATTTAAGCCACGTAGGCATTATTTCAGCCATATTGTGACTGTAATGAGTTATTCATTAATAATACAGAGTGAGTGAGTTTGGTTTGACGCCGCTTTTAGCAATGTTCCAGCAATATCACGGTGGGGAACACCGGAAATAGGCTTCACACATTGAATCCATGTGGGGAATCGAATCCACGTCTTCGGGGTGACGAGCGAACGCTTTAGCCACTAGGCTACCCGACCGTATATAATATCGGCTATATGTATAAATAAACACCCGTGAAGATCCTAACACAAATTCCTCTTCAGCAACTCATGCTTATCATAACAGGCGACTAACGTGATCGGTTGGTCAGGCTTGCTGACTTCGCCGACGTCGATCCCTGGATTGTCTTGTCCAGATTCGATTATTTACAGGCCGCCGTCATATAGCTGGAATATTGCTTAGTACAGCATTAAACAACAAACAAACAAAAACAGTATTGATATCATAAGGTTACTCTATACAGTGACTGTCTAAAACTTAGTAATACACGTTATTTGAAGTTATTTCTAAATTTGGTGTTGAATGAATGTACCACAGCTGCAGGACCAGACCAAACATGGGTACCTCCTCCTCCTCCAAAACTTGGAAAGGCAAAATCCTCCCTATGTGACCGATAAATCACCACATGCATCTCATAGATTTTATGGTTGTGTATGGTTTGTTACAGTTGATGGTGGATGGAGTGACTACAGCGCGTGGACAGTGTACAGCACGTGCACAGTTACATGTGGAGGGGGATCTCAGTTCAGGACCAGAGACAGGACGTGCACCAACCCTGCCCCAGCCCACGGAGGTCGGGACTGTGACGGTGATACCAGGGACAGATCTGAGAGGGACTGTAACACTCATCCCTGCCCAAGTGAGTAACGGAAGTAGCTATGTTAATTTAGGATATATATAATTGAGTAACTGAGTTTAGTTTTACGCCACTTTTAGCAGTATTCCGGCAATATCACGTCGGTGGACACCAGAAATGGGTTTCACACTTTGTTCCTCTGTTGGGAATCGAACTCGGGTTTTCGACGTGACGAGCGAACGCTTTAACCACAAGGCTACCCGACCGTATATAAAATCGATAATATGTCTACATAAGGACCCATGAAGAGCCGAAGAAAATTTCCTCTTCAGCAACCCATGCTTATCAAAAGAGGCGACTAAAGGGATCGGGTGGTCAGGCTTGCTGACTTCGTTGACGTCGATCCCTGGATTGTCTGGTCCAGACTCGATTATTTACAGACCGCAGTCATATAGCTGGAATATTGCTGAGTGCAGTGTTAAACAACAAAGAAACAAACAAAAAACAGTAATGATATCATAAGGTTACTCCATACAGTCTAAAACTTAGTAATACACGTTATTTTCTGAAGTTATTTCTAAATTTGGTGTTGAATGAATTTACCACAGCTGCAAGGCCAGACTTTACATGGGTACCTCCTCCTCAACCACCTGGAAAGGCAAAATCCTCCCTATGTGACCGACAAATCACCACATGCATCACACAGATTTTATGGTTGTCTGTGGTTTGTTATAGATGATGGTGGGTGGAGTGACTACAGCGCGTGGACAGTGTACAGCACGTGCACAGCTACATGTGGAGGAGGATCTCAGTTCAGGACCAGAGACAGGACGTGCACCAACCCTGCCCCAGCCCACGGAGGTCGGGACTGTGACGGTGATACCAGGGACAGATCTGAGAGGGACTGTAACACTCATGCCTGCCCAAGTGAGTAGTGGAAGTAGCTCTGTTAATTAAGAATATGTATAATTATATGAGTGAGTGGGTGAATTTAGTTTTACGCCACTTTTATCAATATTCCCGAATATCACGTCTGGGGACACGAGAAATGGGCTTCACACATTGTACCCATGTGGGGAATCGAATCCGGGTCTTCGGCGTGACGAGCGAACGCCTTAACCACTAGGCTACCCCACCGCCCCAAATTTTAAAATAACCTTAAGATTTTAAAATAATCTTAGAATATGGTACACACGCTTTCGAACAGCTAACCATAGACTACCCATAGAAACTGGAAGATGGACTAATGTTGTAGGATCCGACAGACAATGTACATTATGTAATGAAGCAGTGGGCGATGAATACCACTTCCTTTTAACATGCCCATTTCTAGCAACCCTAAGAAATAAATATTTGCCTAAGTATTTTTGTAATAATCCATCAATAGATAAATTCACCTCAGTTATGAAATCCAGTTATAAACCACTTGCCGTGAAATTAGCCAAATACATCAAGGAGGGCTTATGTTTGTACACATGAGATTTATCATGTGCATAATTGTAATTTATTTTTTGTTATTGTTGCCATGTATAAATTCATACTGTTTATATTGTAAATATCTCTGTATGTTCTCTATGTCACAACATGTGACTTATGAGAATAAACTTTTTCTTCTTCTTCGAATCCAATCCGGGTCTTTCAAGTGAAGTTTCAACCACTAGGCTACCCTACCGTCCCACACATAATTGAGGACACACCTTTTGTGCTGTAATATTACATTGTTTACTTCTAATATACTTCGTGTGTGTAATCAATATATTGAATACCTATTATCGGTTTCAAATGTGGATCGTCACATCGCAGTACTCTGCATATTTCAGAATAAACTGCATTACCAGAAAACAATTCAGGGGAAAGCGTATGAATGAATACACGTATATATTTACGCCCTTGTTTAGTTGACGGTGGCTGGACTGACTGGGAAGAGTGGCAGGATATGGACGAGTGCAGTGTCAAGTGTGGTGGCGGATACAAGGACCAGGACCGCGCCAGGACCTGTACCAACCCAAGCCCGGCCTTCGGTGGAGCCGACTGTGATGGAGAGAGCTACCAGAACCAGACCATCGACTGTAACACCGAGGAGTGTGGAGGTAACTTCACCAACATAGTCATAACTAGATTCAAATTGGTTTATATAATCTTTTATTCCTCCATAGTGAAGAGTACAGAAAGAGAAGACAACATTTATGCAGTTATTTGAGAATTTTGATTTTCATGCATATTTGAGCCGATATCACGTTTTCTTGATCAGTCAAACCCTAGAGTCACAAGGAGTCACTGTAATACAGCTTTGTACATCGCGGTGATGTATTTTATGCACAGAGTGGAAAACTCAATCAAGTCCTCTCTGATCAGGGGAAAGTCAGTTGTACATGACAAGCACTCAGTAAGTTCAGTTGGTTTCATGTTGTGAAGTTTCACACTGAATTCAATTGGCCCAATATTGATTCAACCTGCTTCAGCTGCTGAGATCTCGGCCGGTATGGAAAAGTCACAATTGCACCCATGAAGGGCCACCTCCTCGTGGTGGGTGCTGGGTCACGCTAAGCGCCCTTCAACCCCCGTTGTGGACCCGGGGGGATATATGGTCCACCAACCCGTTTGCCGTGGGTTGCGCCCCTGTGTTGGTGGAGGACGGGAGGCTGGTGGTTGAGGGCACAGGAACCAGGACCAGGTGTTCCTGTTGTCCAACACACCACTTTGCCTTACTTCACCTAGACGGGTGGTAGAATGGGCCCGGTTCTACCAATCGGCTGGTCATGCCAGGCCCTGTGCATAGTGAGTGTTATTGCACAAATTTGATATATTATTTGGTCTTGGCTTTTTGAAATTACAGTTAATCATGATATTGTATTGCCTAGAGTACTATGCCAGAAGGCGGTGGCTCATGGGCCAATCTGGTGATATGGACCTCTAAATTCTGAGTTTCTTAAGACTAATGTCATGGGCCGAACCAGCCTGACATTTGATCTTTAGATTTCTTAGCTATTTATGTACTTATTTCTGGAGTATAACATCCCTGTAGCCCTGGTGTTGCAGTCTGGTTTCCACGGCAGCACCGTCCTTGTTGACACTCGATGGCGGGTGGGGAGCAGGGATGCTGAACTATATTCTTCTACCATGGCTACAAACACTCAATCTGGTTCGTCAAAGACACATAAGCGGAGACATCTTTCTTCTTCGTCTGATGAAGAGGTATCTTCTTTCGTGAATGATTCTTGGCCAAGGTTTTTGGTTATAGCATCTGATGATGGGAATCCATTAAATATTAATCCTTTTGCTGTCTCCAAGGGCATCCAAGGTGTCTGCGGAGAGGTGAAGAATGTTACCCGCCTCCGAAACGGTTCACTTTTGGTAGAATGTGTACGGAGGCAGCAATCTAATCAATCTGCTGGGATTACAGCAGTTTGTGCATAAACAGGTTGTTGTCTCAGTGCATAAGACATTGAACACTTGCAGAGGCATCATTAGAGACAGGTCCCGTTGTTTGTCAGACATGACAGAAGAGGAGATTGTTGCTGAATTGAGAGACCAGGGCGTGACTTCTGTTAAACGTTTTACGAGGAAACAGGATTCAAACGTAATAAAAACACACACTTACCTTTTTACATTTGGTATGACTGTGCTTCCCAAGTCTATTAAAGCTGGATATTGTAATATCGGAGTGGAGATATATGTACCAAATCCACTCCGGTGTTACAAATGCCAAAAGTTTGGCCATGGTGCAAGATCTTGTACCGGCAAATCCGTTTGTTCACGCTGCAGTGGAGCTCACGAGAGTACCGATTGCACTAATGACATCAAGTGCGCAAACTGTAGTGGTGGGCATCTGGCTTCATCAAAATCCTGCCCAAAGTTTGAATGCGAAACCAACATTCTCAAAATCAAATGCACTAATAACATCTCCTACTTTGAGGCCAAAAAACTAGTTAATGCACAGTCAAAACATTCTACCGGTCTGACCTATTCTGAAACAGTTTCATCTTCTTCTCCATCATGTGTTAGGAAATCTACATCAGTTTCAACTTCCTGTCAAACTGTGTTATCCTGGGTCACTGAAACTCAAATCCATTTGAATGACAGTAATCCCATAACACCAGACTTTCAACGTTCTTCAGCCTCGCAGACTGAGGAAACACAACCAGAAGATATACTTACAACTCAGACAACACAGAGTGTTGCCAACCTTTCCAGTAAAGAAAAGAAAAAACTGAGGAAAAAGACTAAAGCACTTCAACTCTTAGAAGAGTCTACTAGTTTGACGCCTGTGACGGTTCAAAATCCATTTGAGCCACTGGACATGGAGATCACTCCTTCACGCACAGGGGGTGGGAGTGACGCTTCCACGCACTCACGATCTCCAGTTAAACCTCCTAAACATTTTAATGACCTTAATACAATGGAATTGCAGAGGCCTTAGGAACAATTTTAACGATCTGCAATTATTATCTCACGATTTTACACCTTCGGCTTTTAGTCTACAAGAGACATATCTGAAAAGTTCAGATAAATTTGAATTACGTCGGTACAATTCATATCATTCGTTTTCACCCCAAGGTAATAGAGCCACTGGTGGCGCTTCTATTTTGGTTAGGCAGGGTGTTATGCATAGCCCTGTCCCTCTTAAAAGCAATCTTCAGGCTGTTGCTGTCCGTCTAACTTTACAGGTAACCTTTACTCTTTGTTCTTTGTACATTTCTCCTTCTTCAGCTCTTCAGCAGTCTGATCTTCAGAATCTATTCGACCAGCTTCCCAAGCCCTGTATCATAATGGGTGATCTTAATGGCCATAACCCTTTGTGGGGAAGTGCCGATATTAACAGTAAAGGGAGAATCCTTGAAGACTTCATGTCTAATAATAATTTATGTCTTTTCAATGATGGATCAGCCACATATTTACACCCTGGTTCTGGAACTTATTCTGCACTTGATTTGTCCCTCACGGACCCAAATATTTATAATGAATTTGACTGGTCAGTACACGATGACCTGTGTGGAAGTGACCATTTCCCCACAATCCTTTCTGCTATAAACCCAAACGATGATCCACCAACAACAAGGTGGAATTTTAATAAGGCCAACTGGCCATTATTTCAGACACTGTGTGCTGACACATTACAGTCCGACCTTTTTGTTAATGTTACAGATCCGATTCAGTTGTTCTCTGATAAACTGAAAAACATTGCCGATGAAACTATTCCTAAGGCTTCTGCTAAACCACATATTCGAAAACCATGGTTTACTGACGATTGTAAACAAGCTAGAAAGTGTAGGAAAAAGGCAGAGAAATACTTTCGCCGCCACCCTACAGTTCACAATTTAAATAATTTTAAAATAAACAATGCCAAGGCTCGACGTACATTTAAACAAAGTAAACGTCAGTCATGGAAGAACTTTGTATCAAAGATCAATTCCCGTACACCAATGACGAAGGTATGGAACATGGTACAGAGAATCAAGGGCAAAGGTAGAAATTCAAGTGTTCATCATCTCAAAGATGGCCACGATCTTTTAACTGATAAAATTGACATTGCAAACAAGTTGGGTGCAACTTTAGCGAGACATTCTTCTTCATCCAACTACAATCCAAAGTTTCAGAAATATAAAGATCATCAAGAAAAATTAAAATTAACTTTCATTCTGATAATGGTGAAGATTATAATGAAGTATTTTCACTACATGAGCTGAATACTGCCTTAACGCAAGCTCATGATACGGCAACAGGTGCTGATAATATCCACTATCAGCTCCTGAAACATTTACCTAATGCTTGTCTTGAAACACTTCTGAACATTTTTGATAATATTTGGATGACAGGGCATTTTCCTCCTTCGTGGCGTCATGCCATTGTTGTACCAATACCTAAGCCTGGCCGGGATCATACAGATCCATCCAACTACAGACCTATTTCATTAACTAGCTGCGTTTGCAAGACCATGGAACGCATGGTCAATAATAGATTAGTGTGGTTTCTAGAATCCAATAATCTAATTTCTAACATTCAATGTGGTTTTCGTAAAAATAGAAGCACTATTGACCATTTGGTTCGACTAGAATCATTTGTTAAAAATTCCATTGTAAATAACCAGCATGCTGTATCAATCTTTTTCGACCTAGAGAAACATGATACAACATGGAAACATGGTATTTTAAAGAGATTTACATGACTTTGGTTTGAGAGGCCGTTTGCCTCACTTTATATCACAGTTTTTAGCTGACAGGCAATTTCAAGTGCGTGTTGGATCAACCCTGTCTGACCATTATAATCAGGATCAGGGGTTCCACAAGGCAGTATTTTGTCCGTTACTTTGTTTAGCATAAAATCAATAGTCTCTCAAAAGTATTAAATGACTCAATAGATGGGTCATTGTTTGTGGATGATTTTAACGTTTCATGTCGTGGTAAAAATATGCATACCATCGAGAGACAATTACAGATGTGTTTAAATAAAATTCATAAATGGTCACTTGAGAATGGCTTTAAATTTTCACAGATAAAGACCAAATGTATACATTTCTGTCGGAAATATAAGCCTCATAAAGATCCCGAACTGTACTTGGATGGCTCTCAATTAACGTTGTAAAGGAAGCCAAGTTTTTGGGACTGATTTTTGACAAGCATTTGACCTTTTACCACATATTAAGTCTTTGAAGACTAAATGCCTGAAGGCATTAGATCTATTAAAAGTCGTGTCCAATTCAAAGTGGGGAGGGGATCAAACTACTCTCCTTCATTTGTACAGATCACTCATCCGGTCAAAACTTGATTATGGCTCCATTGTATATGGTGGAGCCTGTAAAAGCAATTTGAAACTACTGGATTCTGTCCATCACCAAGGTCTACGACTTTGTCTTGGATCTTTCGAACTTCTCCTATTGATAGTATTTATGTTGAAGCTGACGAGCCTTCTCTCAACCAACGCCGTATCAAATTGTCTTTGCAGTATATTACTAAACTATCTTCTAATCAGTCGAACCCTGCATATAACTGTGTCTTCCATCCTCTCTATGAGGATCTGTACAACAAAAAGTCTTCTCTTGTTCCGCCTCTTGGGCTGGGAATTAGACCATTCATTGCTGCTGCCGGCATTGAGCTGGAAAATATAGCTCCTTCCCGTTTGCTTTCTTCTCCTCCTTGGCAATTGGTGAGGCCAGATGTTGACTTAACATTAACCACATTTAAAAAATCCGAAACTAATGATTTACAGTATAAACAAGAATTTAGTCAATTAAGAAATAAATATAGTACATATAAATCCTTATTTACAGATGGATCAAGGATGGTGGCGCGGTGGCTTGTGCCACTGTCATTGGAGTCCAAAACAATATCTTCTCGGCTACCAAATAATAGTTCTATTTTCACAGCAGAAGCTAACGCCATATTAACAGCTCTTAAATATATAAATAAACACCGTAAATATAAACAATACATCATCTTTTCAGATTCTCTTTCTTGCCTTCAGGCGATTAAAACCTTTCTTGCAATCATCCACTTTTATTAGAAATTCTTGAATTGTATAATGAGCTTGCTACTGGCCAATGCGACATCGTCTTTTGTTGGTTACCCAGCCACGTTGGCATTTCTGGGAACACAATGGCTGATATTGCTGCTAAGGCAGCACTCAACAAATCTGTGACACCACTTCTTATTCCATACTCTGATTACAAAGCTAGCATTAGAACTTACATCCGTGATCTGATGCAGAAGAAGTGGGACACCCAAGCAGGTATTAATAAATTACATGCAATAAAACCAACTATCGGTTACACTTACTTGGGTTGTCAGTCCAGATTTGAAGAGGTCATCATACGACGATGTCGTATTGGCCACACAAGATATACGCATGAGTACCTATTAAAAGGTGAGGATCCTCCGTTTTGTATCCCTTGTGATGAACGAATCACGGTCAAGCATGTCTTGCTTGACTGTGTTGAAGTATTCCATCACAAAGGGATATCTATTCAAATCACGAACGATGAAGGATCTTTTTAATAATATCAGTTCTCATTTAGTTATTGCGTTTTTAAAAGAATTAGATTTGTTGAATGAATTGTAAATAGATAAATATTTTATAATTGGTAGTTTAATTCAGCAGCTGAGATTGTTAGTGGCTGTATCCTCACAGGGGGTTGAAGCACTGTAAAATTATTGTCCTCCTGTGGGGGTACGTAAGTCCCAAAACATTCAAACTAAATTTAAATATACCATTAGTTTTAATCGTAGAATATGTGTTATTTTAACTTATGGCTAATTTGTCAAAACTTGCTGACGGCTGAAGGGATGGTGTAAATCCAGCTAGGGTCCATGCAGGAAGCAAATGTACTGTAAGTCCCCATGGTCCCTAGTATGGTGATCTACCTTCAGTTGTTAGCGATCTATAGCCCATTTTTATATTGTGTTGTCCCCCATAGTTAAAATGTTTTAGATTCAATTACTAGTTTTACATATATATCTGTGATAATCTAGTTATTTTACTGTCCTTCGTTGGCAGAATTTTATAATTTCACTTAAATTGTTGATATAAATATAACTTGCTTTAGTCACGATATGGCTGAAATATTGCCGATGTGACTAAAAATCTTAACTCACTCACTCACTCTGACCTCAGGCTGAATGATTTCATTGGTAGTAATCTCTCTGCTGGCATGCAAAATAGTGCATGTTATTGCTGAATAATATTCGTCAATATCAGTCCATTCACAATCCACCACGGGAGGCTTAATACTCCATAGCAGATGGGAAACATCAAAGGTATAGTCCTTCAACCTGCCCCGAGTTCTCGCCTTTTCCTAGAGGACAACCCAGGGGACCTCCCTAGGCCTCTTGCGTGAGTCTTGGTAGAGGTGATGGCAGAGACAAGATGCAGACGACTGGGTTGTGGTCAGACACATTGAAGGGGGAATCGTCTAAGACACGGGCACATACAACATCACTCAGGGTCGACTCAGGCAACACGATATGGTCAATCATATTTCGTGGTCCATGCTGATAAGAACAGAAGGTCCAAGTTGGACCTAAAAGAGAACCAGAGTGTTCACTGAAGTACGGCCTGACCTTTGAATTGACTCGTTCATTCTCCTCGATCGGACATCTTCTGTGAATCTGTAATGAGCACATTTGACTTTTGTATTTAGATCACACATGATGATTACTTCACCAAGATCTGAGTAGCCAGCATATACATCATCGACAATGTCATGGCAAGTACAGAACAGATCATTAGGTCTAGTCACAGCCGGTAGGCACACATTAAATATGTACAAAGGTCTGCATCCAGAAACGTGAGTCTCAACACCAACTAAGAAATCATAGTCACTAGGTACCTCTTGACAATAGCACTGGAATCGCTTAGATATATCCACCTCTAGATGCAAAGAAACCATCAGGCAATAGCTGGCCATCTCCAAAACATCTGGCAAACACTGAATATGGATAAGCAATTTGTGTTAATGAATGGAGGTTATGGTTACCGAGCTGATGTTCACTCAGTCCACAAATGTCCACTTCACACTGTGAGAGGCATGGTTTGAGATATGGCACCCTGGTTGAGACACCTCGACAGTTCCAGCACATGAGAGTAATCCTATCAACTAACATCATGCAGTCGTGTTGTTGTTGTACAGCTATGACCTCGGTATCCATTTACGGACAGCGATACCATCAGACCAAAAGGTAGGATCTTCAACAAGCTTCTTCTGAGCGAAAGGGACATTTACCTGTGCCGAAGTCGTGTGTCTGTATTTGTTGTTCAGAATTCTCACTAAGGACGCCTTGACATCACCCTTCATTAAGTAGTCGCTAATGACAGACTCCTTCGTATCAATGTGGATCCGCCCAATGAAGAAACGGGTGACTCGTTGCCTGGGAAGTGCTGCTCTGAAGTTACGTACCATCCGGTGAGTTAGTGGTGTGACAGTTGACCGTACGGCTCCAGTCACGGTCCAGGTCAACCGTTATCTTTAAATCAGAACACCGGGCCTTGACGTTCTTCTGTCCATTTGAAGATCAAGAAAACTGTATCTCATTGTCTAGTCCAAGCATTTCCTCTCTGTTACCATAACATGGAATCGGTAAACCAAGGGATTCACTCAGTTCTCTGATACACAACTCACTACTAGGGTTAGGATACTAGGATTTCTGTAAACAAACATCTATTCTTAGGCATAGAATGATAAAAAAAAACAGGGGTTACGGGTGGAAATCTTTCCGTATACACTATGTCATTTAGTTCATTAGCGAATTCACCATGGCATGCTCTGAATAAATAGTAGCAATCTTTTGCCAGTTTGAATTACAGAGATTCGCCTGATTTGCCTCGCTTCTCCAAGCGTCTCTTGAGAACACTTTTCAAATATGGAAACCTTTCTGTTTCTTGGCCCCTTCCAAAACGGTTAATCTTGTTGATATCACTGATATCACCATTTAATATATCAAGAGTTGTTGAAATAATCGTGTCCTTGGGACAGTCCGGTGACTCACGTGTACAGAATAGCGATATGAAATCCACAGACTCGTCACGTAACGTACAGTTACTCACCGGTTGCATCGCCATGTTGACTGTCGTTGTATTCACCGCCTTGCCGGGTATCACACATATCATTTCCATCGTCCACACGCATTTCCCAATAAACTTTCGTTCACATAGTCAAAGGAAAGTATTCCTGGGTCAACATTCGTAAGTTCTGTGTGCGATATCTGTCAAATATCCACTCTCGTTCAGAGAGCTCGATTGGCCGTGACTATGCTACGTCCACCATCTTGTCCATGTTCATCGTACATTGTACCCATGTGGGGAATAGAATCCGGGTCTTCTACGTGACGCTTTAACCACTAGGCTGCACCACCGTCCCACATATAATTGAAGACACTTTTTGTGCTGTAATATTACATTGTTTACTTCTAACATACTTTGTGTGTACAATATATTGAATACCTATCTTCGGTTTCAAATTTTGATCGTCACATCTCAGTATTCAGTATATTTCAGTATAAACTGCATTACCAGACAAGAATTCAGGGGAAAGCGTATGAATACATGTATATATTGACACCATTGTTTAGCTGACGGTGGCTGGACTGACTGGGAAGAGTGGCAGGATATGGATGAGTGCAGTGTCCTGTGTGGTGGCGGATACAAGGACCAGGACCGCTCCAGGACCTGTACCAACCCAAGCCCGGCCTTTGGTGGTGCCGACTGTGACGGAGAGAGCTACCAGAACCAGACCATCGACTGTAACACCGAGGAGTGTGGAGGTAACTTCACCAACAGAGTAATAACTGGATTCAAATTGGCTTACACTCCCAGAACTAACCACCTATCCTAACTAACTAGCAGATATGGAAGTTCAATGTCCAGAGTAGCCTCCATTTTTGTGTCAGCATTCGCTGATCGTTCACTCTGTTCCCTAAGTGGGAGAGATTAACAGCTCAACACTGAGGAGTATAGAAGCATTTAAGAAATATGAAACCTTATTGTTTTCTAAGCGCTAACACGTTTGATCACGTTTTTCCAAATGTGGAGAGTTGCCTCCCTTGATCGTGTCAGTATCCGCTGATGGTTTACTCAGTTCCCGAAGTGGGAGAGATTAACAATCCAAATCTGAGGAGTATGGTGGTATTTCAGAAATAATCGTTTTCTAAGCACTAACTTGTTTGATAATTGTTTCCTTCTCATTAACACAATAGGTTGCCTTATTTGAAAATATAACTGATCGATTTCTTGCAGATCGTTGTCGAGACGATGGCGCCTTCCTTGCCCATGCCACCGATGAGAAGCGCTTCTACCAGTGCAGCAATGGCAGGGCCCTCCGCCAGCAGTGTTCAGAAGGTACCGTGTATGACTCCGAGAATTCCATCTGCAACTACGCTGCCACCACAGCAGCTCCCAAGACGGCCGAGTCCTGTCCCGACAGCGGTGTCGTCATGATCGCCCACGAGACTGACTGCACCAGATACTACATGTGCTCCAACGGCAACAAGTACGACATGGCCTGTCCAGCCACCACCCATTTTGATGTCTCCTTGAAGGTCTGCACCCACGGAACATGTTAGAATCAAGATCAATTCAGCCCCGTAAAGACAACTTAACTACATCTCACTCTGACTCTTTATCTAGACGTAAAGCGCTGCTGTTTCTTATATCTTATTAATAAATCATCTCTTGCATGTTTTCACTGTCGATATTTTTTGTCAAAATTCAGATCGTTGCCTCAACGTATACTCACAGAAGGAAGCTATTTAGGTTTGGTTTAAATATTAGCTGAGGAACCATCGCCTTTGAGTCATGAATTCATTGGGCACTTTCTAGGTTATATCATGTCTTACCAGCTTGACGTGGGAGGAAAGTGAAGGCTTTAGATGTTTACCACTTTGCTGAATCCCATGATCATGGTTATACCAGCACATTCAGTACAGGAGAATTTGGGATTCGAACCCAGGATGGGAATGCCTTTCTTATAAATGAATTATTGATGTATATATTATGAATAAGTATAACTCATAAACAAACCTTTCTTTAAAAACATTAGCCAGAGGCAAACACGTCGACAAACGACGGGATGGGTCTTCGGTAAAAAGAGCTCATTTAGATTAGACTATGATACTCCGGCAAAATAAATTGATACCAACGGAGTCGAGCAAGTGGATCACGTGGTCAATATTTGTAGACTTATGCAACTCAAAGGGTACACATCTCCAAGATATGTCCAAAAATATCATGTTTCAGTCGGTTAAAAACATTGTGACATGATAAACATGATGTTTTCAACAGCAAGTAAACTGCATAAATTTAAAGGTGACACAGTCTAATCCTGGTTCTTACTTATGTGATTTGTTTCGGGGTTACATACATATTACACAGTGCAGTACATACAATACATGTACTCTTGTTTGAAGAGGATTAGCTTGAGTGACACCCATACACTTAATATCTGCCTTGAAACAGTGACTGGTAGGGCTGGATATTGCCCTGATTTTCATAGTGCGATATATTGCAATAATGTAAGAGATATTGCAAAATACATATTGTGGTATATTGACTGGAAGGTTTCTGCCCAAGTGCGTACATCATGCATTCATAATAGCTCTCTGTGTGCAACATCATCTTCGTAGTTGCTGTTACACCATACTTTCAGGCTCCCCATCCCCATTGTGACAGTTAAATAAAATGACATAGAACCTTAACGTGGAATGTTTGACTGAAGTATTGCAACAAAATGTTGCGAACATAATGATAAAGGTAATAGTATAACATGATTTTCATGGTCAGTGTTGTTTCCTTCAACAGAATGCACTACAATGCAGTATGTAATTATTGTTACTGTATGTCAGTGATTCATTCAGATTCAACTCCAGTATATACATGTGTTAACATGAACTATTACAAAATGAAATAAAACATGATTTAGTTTAACTACTTGAGCTTAAAATCGCATGTGACCTCCAATAACTAAGATCCTTGACTAGAATGTAATTATACAGTCCTTCACAATTTATAAGACTTAGACCTTTATGATAAATAGATGTCATTTGTCCTATTATGAAACAAACAAAAATAACAACATACTGTGAATTGTGAAATGGTCACTCAAGAGTCAGAGGCCACTAAATTCCTCCAAAATGTCACATATGAAACCATTCAAACCCACAAAACGTTAAGCATTTGGTAGAACATTTGGCACTTTTGGAGCCACTTATAATCACATTTCCACTAGTAAAATGTTACCCGAAACCAACAGAAATAAAAGTATATTTGGCACTTTTAGAGCCCATGTTTTTGCCATTGAAATCAGGGGCAGATAATTCAAAGGGAGCTAACTCTGGATGACTAATATATTGCAGAATCTGAACCATTTCGTATCGCAAGAAACTGTCCCGGTAATATTGCAAAGCCCTACAATTTAGGCATACATTTTTCAACGTTACCACTTAAGAACGTTACGGCGTCCAATCACATGCTATTGTCTTTAATGAGATTTAGATTTAGAGTAAAATGATTCTTTGAGGTCTCTCTCTTGGGAGGAATGCAGCATTCCTCGGCAATCAATTGCTCAGTTTTACTAAATGATGTTGCATGATGCCAGTGAGAAAGGGCATACACTATCACTGGACACCAAGGGCTGAAATAGTTCCCACATTATCAATACTATTCCTCTTCCTTATTCATTTGTGTTATTGTTATAAGGGGCGGTGGGGTAGCCTAGTGGTTAAAGCGTTGGCTCGTCACGCCGAGGACCCGGGTTCGATTCCCCACATGGGCACAATGTGTTAAGCCCATTTCTGGTGTCCCCCGCCGTGATATTGCTGGAATATTGCTAAAAGCGGCGTAAAACTCAACTCAGTCAGTCAGTCAGTATTGTTATAAGCTAATTATTGTCAACTGTGGGGGGAACGGGGAGACAAGTGTTTAAAGAAAGAAAGGTGGTTAAGCTGATAACAAAGTAACAAATGTGGAAAGCCAAAATTCTAGTGATCCCTACGGTATTGCTGGTGCATACTTAATCACTAACACCCTCATTAAGTCTTTCTTTTAAAATCAAAGTAATGAAAACGTTCATTCTCGTGGGCTCAGCGCGATTTCAAAAGGAGTCCTCGCCGAGCACCCTCGATAATCGGAATGTATACCCTGGAGCTTCTCGAGGATGCTCTATAATCTCCAGCTCATCGAGGATGTTCTATAATCTCCAGGGTATACGCATACCCTGCAGCTTATCGGGGATGCTCGCCGAGTTGCAGTGGTCCAATCGTGTAATTTTACAGTTATTTTGTCCTTTACAGCTTGTTTCTGTATATAGTCATTACTGGGTATTCTGTAGTCTGTAAATAATCGGGTCAGGACCAGACAATCCAGTGATCAACGGCATGAACATCGATCTAAGCAATTGGGATACGATGACATGTGTCAACAAACTCAGCGAGCCTGACCCCCCGATCCCGTTAGTCGCCTCTTAAGGCAAGCATGGGTTACTGAAGTTCAATTCTAACCCGGATCTTCACGGGTTCACGCAGAAGGAATCAAGCTACATATACTTTTCATATCACGGGAAAGATCTCGTGAAGTTGAATCCAAAATTGTACGCGCCAGTGTGTTCACGTGTTCAGTATAGCCCACAAACTGGCTAAGAAAGTACGTTACTACAGTATTGCCGTTCAGAAGGTTTTACATAACAGAAATAATTGCCAGATTTTATTTATGCTGCCATGTCTTGGTCACGTTTTTAAAGTTTACTGAGAAAATTAACCTTAGGAGATATGCATCCCCCAAGGGTTACGCGAACTGGACAAAGGAACACTGAAAGCATGCAGAGTACTCCTCGGGCATGGTCGACCATTTGGAGCTCTCACTTTGACCTTCTCAACTGAACAGTACAGAACCAGATTGGCACCTTTTCTCAACCCAACAAACTCACGAGCAGACATGAAACAAACGTTTACTTCAATGACAACATGGATAACAACCTTTCATACTTCGTGAGTGTAACATTTCGAATCTTTCGATACAGATTCTGGTATCGTTTAGACAATCTTTATGCATAAGTTCTTTATTTCGTGAGTGCGACGTTTCGAGACAGATTCTTGTACCGTTGTCAAGTAGGGTACATGCTTCTGTATGGAAACATCACACTCACGAAATAAAGAAGTTTTATCAAATACATTTGTTGATATTGTACCTCCCAACTTCTAAAATGCCACTCAAAGAAGTTACCGTGTAGTTGTCGTGTACCGTTGTCAAGCTGGAATGTAACGATGATGATGATTTGGAGATTGTACGTGCGCTTTCCAACATAATGCGTAGTTCGCACACGGGCTGTCCAGACCATTTTGAGTTCGATCGAAAGAGGGGTGATTGAACCAAAAGATATGGCAACCTGAAAGGGGCGTTAGAGTTGGGGTTGGAGGAATCTGACAGGTGATGTGGAGGTGATGTTTATTCTGAATGTAACAAAGAAAACAAAACAAGGGCAGCAATTCTTTAAGTGCTTCACGTTGCCGAACTGACATAATGTTGGGTCGGTCGGTCAATCAGTTAAAATATGAAAAAAGGACAATAAAATAATATTCATATCAACATCATGAAAGAAAACGAAAACATTTTTACCTTTGATTCTGCTTTAGTTTGTCTTTTTAGGAGTAGCTATGGGAAAAATGTATCTGGAAAAGAAGAATGGAGCTGTGTTCAAAAGACTATTTCTTCTATGTTCTTTAGTATTCGGTGACCGCCTCCAGAGAGCGGAAGGTCGCGGGTTCGATCCCCGGCCGCGTCATACCAAAAGACGTTAAAATATGGTACATGTTGGTCCCTGCCTGGCGTTCGACATTAATGGGTACAACAAGGACTGGTCGGCTCAGAGTGAGTATAATGTGTCTGAGTGGGTATTCATGCTTCACTGCGGCATGGTATCTCAGTGGGCTAGCACTATAAAACCAGCTTCAGTCTGGGCTAGTACAAGCAGCCGCACATACACATACACACGCATGCACGTCGTCATATGAGCGAAATATTCTCAAGCACGTCGTTAAACCCAATTTCACCTCACCTCTGACGAAAAGTAGAACTTAAAATGCAAATTCGCTACTGGAGACATTTTTTGCAAATAAGAGGAACAACGGATATTCTAAACATTTTTTAAAAAGATACAAGGAAATAGAAAATGATGTGTGGGCTAGTACAAGCAGCCACACATACACACGCATGCACGTCGTCATATGAGCGAAATATTCTCAAGTGCGACGTTAAACACCATTTCACCTCACCATTGGTTTTCGGGAAATATAAAGTACACAGTAAAATTCTTTGTTGTCACATTTGTTGTCACAGACTTTGAATCCACAATACAGATTGCACTGCTAGCAAAACAAGCAGAGAACAACAAAGAAAGGCAGCAGAGCACATCACAAGACACAGAATCACGTTATACTCTCACAAAGTTTGACACATCGGTCATTAAAACGTTTCTTTACTCTAATATCTGATAGTGTATTAATAAATGACATGTAAAGATAGATAATTTTAATACCAAGAGCTCGGCCTTCTTGTGAAGTTTCACTTCTCTTCTACGTACAGTACCCTTGAAGATCAGGGTTAAAATTGGTCTTGAACAACCCATGCTTGTCCTAAAAGGCGACTAACAAAACTCGCTGATTTGGTTGACACATGTCGTATCCCAACTG